GTCATAAGGGGTCCTAGATGCGTACTGCAAGGGTGATATAAGGGCGACTTGCAAACTATAAGGGGTGCTGCGAGGGCTGCTTGAAGGGGGGGACTAATCATGAGGGTTGCTAAAGGACTACTATTGTTTTTGAGTCTGGGTTTATGAAAGTGCCTCGGCCTAAAACGTGTACATGCATCTATACAAATACATATACAAACACATATTATGCTTGAGAAAACACAGGACCCTTGAAAAGAAGCTCAACTTGTGCGATGCTTATTGAACAGACCGACTGGTAAAGGACCACTCATCCAAGAACCCCCCAGCTGAGAGCCGAGTGGGCCAGGGCAGCCTTTTGGCCCAAAACCGGCGATCCTTCGGCCAAGGTGCCGGAAGAGCTACATTGATTCATGACCCCCCCCCCTTTTTTTGGGCCATGATATGAGAATCCATAGTATAATCCCTGCACACACAGGCCCTGAACCCTTTAAACCGGGTCCACATTCGCGTTCTCCTTCGTCTGTTATGGAAATGTTCCCGGAGGCCCTGACACCGTGTGAGGGTTTAGGGTTTAGGGNNAACCTTAAGGTTTAGGGGTTTAGGGTTTAGGGGTTTAGGGTTTAGGGGTTTAGGGTTTAAGGTTTAGGGTTGAGGGTTTCGGCGTTTAGGGTTTAGGGGTTTAGGGTATAGGGTTTATAGGGTTCAGGGTTTAGGGTTTAGAGGGTTTTAGGGCTTAGGGTTTGTGTACCCTTAACCCTTTGGGCAGAAGCAAGCAAACCTCAACCGAAAAAATCCTGCGACAGTCTGGGTGCACGGGCCGGGCACAACAACTCCGCAAGGATCATGCCCAGAGCCTCACAAAACACAGTGAGGCGTGCATTTTCGCAGGCAGGAAATCATGTAGAAGACTGAATCATTCATACAAGAAGGTCTTCGGGCCCAAAAGCCTTAAAATATGAGTCCTTTGAAGGTAAGGGTAAGGCTGTGAATGGGTTCGGCTTTACAGTACCCAGAGCCGGCGGGGCAGATGTTGGAAAGCAGAGATTCTCTGGGTTTGGGCTCATCCGTTTTGTGGGGCTTAGAGTCTTGAGTTAGCATGTCGGAAAGGCATGGTAGACTATGACTGGGACTGGGATTCTGAGGGGACATACATGCTATCTTGAATGATATATGGACTATAAGGGATACTACTACTCTTTATGAAGGCCCCGGTATTGATTCGGAAGAAGAACATGCAGCGCACCCTAGACCACCCCCCCCCTAAAGCGACACTCCATAACCCTCAGAACCCGGTAGCCTAAGCCCCAAACCTGGTGCCCTGTTGGGGCTATATTATTAAAAATGATCATTTTTAATCCTGACGGGGTTTGATGAAAACACAAATGTAAAGTTGTAGCCAACAAGGACCCAGAAACCCAAAACCCTAAACACAGGGGCCCGACGAAAATGTCCGTCTTCACGCTGTAGGAATCTGTCGCTAGCTGCTCTGGGCTAGCATAGATCGGAGTGCCCACACCTGTTGGAGTTTAGCATCGGGCTTGCGGGTTGAGGGAGAATTTAAGGGTTGCGGGTTTCGGGACACCTGCAGAACATCGCAAGAACAGAACGGCCATTCGGGGCATGGGGGCATGGGGGCCAGGGCTTGAGATACCTTTTTGTTACTACTGCTGGTGCTACTGCTTGGATACTGTCCACCACCACCCTTACTTCTACCTGGGCTACCTGGGCATGCGAGCCATCAATATGCAAACTTCCAAATTCCCATGAGATGTGACGCGCAGGCAGGCATCATGAGCAGCAGGCCGGCAGGACGCAACTTGCTTTGCATCATCAGCATCCGCTGGCCCCACGGTGATCACAAGTCCGGTGACTCTAATCATCTTCATCACTGCTGCATGATATCAGACCAAGAGCTGCCGTGGCCACCAGCATCAGCGCAGCATCACCAGCCAGTCTGGGGGGCACCACAACGAAAGCCCTACCGCCCTCCCAATGAAACCCTAAACCCTACCAATACTAAACCCTAAACCCTAAACCCCTAAAGCCTAAACGACGTCTTCACGCGGCCCAGCCTGTCGATGCAGCGCGCTGCAGCCTGCTGGATGTTAGGGCTTGGAGTTTCGGGTTTAAGGTTTAGGGGTTCGGGTTTAGAGTGCGTATAAAATGAGCAACATGAAGGATATTCGTGCGACCATTAGTTTTGTAAGAAGCTTATTTAGGCTTACGGGTTAGGGCTTAGCCTTAGGCTTTGTCCATGGAGGCCTCACATCTAGAGACTCCAAGCCGAATAAGGACATCCTCTTGCAAGCGTGCCAAGAACATCTCCCCATGTTCGGCCTGTCATGGACATGCTTACTACGTACTAGTTGTGTCGACAGTTCAACAAATCGCTTTCACCGCGTCGAACCAAACATGTGCCCGGAGACCAGAGCAAACCACTCGCGCATGACCCAAGGCAGCAAAACATATTGACTCCACAAGTCCGGAACAACGGACGGCGGGCCCCAAACTTTAGGATTTAGGACACCCTAAATCCCACACCTTAATGGTTTGGGGGCCCCGAACTGTTCGATTCCCATAGCTGGGCCTGGGTTGAGAGGTATCATCAGCAGCATCCTGCGCTAAGGAGGACGGCATTTCTTAAGGGGTTGTATGGGGAGTATTTAAGGTTAAGGGTTTAGGGTTTAGGATGGTTTAGGGCCTTTCCTTCTCACTTGCTAGATGCATGAGAATTGTTTTAAGTGGGCGCTGAGGCCAAGATGATCAGGGTCAGCCCGCTGGTCGGCTACTCACAATCGAGGGGTGGCCTGTGATGCTGATACTGTAGCGCTGAAGCCGGCACAGCAGACTCTGAGATCACATGTGTACTTGATTCCACTCCTGGCATATCTTATGGCTTTGCTTTCGAGGGTCTGCAGAGTCTACAGTTTGAGGCTTGGGGTTCAGGCATTTCACACTCAGTGGCGCCAGCTACGCCAGGACAACCAAGCTGCAGCCTGCAAGCTGTCACCGTGACGCAAGACCCCTTTGCGGCCAAACAGTGGATTCGAGCATCGAGAACGCAGAGGTGCACGAAGACGAAGACAAAACTAGCAGCACAGCCAAACCGACATCTTCGGTTTAACAAGTAATAACAGCCACAATGATAGTACGCAACAGCACTTGCAGAATACCAACAGCAACCACGTTTACAAGTATTCAGTATTGTGCAAACAGATGCGGAGCTGAACCCTAAGATGTCCCTGCACACTAAACACCTAACTCTCATCTAAACCCCCACAAAACCCCTCAGTCGAAAACCCCTAAACCCCTAAACTTAAGCCCTAAACCCTTAAACTGTACACCTCAACACCCTGTTTCCCTAAAAGGCCATCCATATATTGTTTTATTTGTTTGTTTATTTATTTGTTTACATAAATATAACTGAATACAGAAGATAGATATACAATTAGATATATATATATATGCATTCATCTATAATATACATGTGTATGTGTATATATGTATATATATACATATATACACATACACATACATATACATATATATGTGTGTGTGTAGATGTAGATGTAGATCTAGATCTAGATGTGGATCTAGATGTATAGATGTATAGATGTATATATGTATACATGTATTCTAGCATG